AGATTTCTTTAACTAAATAGAGACGTCAGGAATTCGTAATGCGTAAACTGTTTATTAATTTTGCCTAATGCAATATACAGCTGTTGAAAACTGAGGTGATTGTATGTGGTGAAATTTATTTACAACATACATTATGTAATTTACGACTTTTTTTTATTTACTGCAGATGAAAAAAAACACCGCCCTCTGTGGTGTGGTGAAATTTTTTTCATATGTCGCACACAAAACCAAATACTGTCGTAACTCAAAATTGTGGAGGTAGGTAAACACGATTTGAAAATTCTGTCTTTGCTTTTTCACGCCCAAGCCGCTAAATCAAATTTGATAAATTTTGGCATAGAGGTATGTGGGACCTAAGAGAAGGACATAGGCTACTTTTTGTCACAAACATATTTCTTAAGGGTGCGTAATTTAATTAGGGACGAAAAATTTGTATTAAGAACCAATCATTTCTCAAGTAAGTAGTAGTAATAGGCTGCTCGAAGTACTTTTCTACGCAGACGAAGTCCCCAGCTAGTACTATATGTATATAATAAATACTCACTAATTTGACGTCTTTGGTGAAGCAGCGATTTATACTACTTAGATAGGACCAATTTGAGAAATATACTTTTCTAAATTTGTTCCAGTCTGGGTATTCTGGATTTTGCCCCGTAGTTAATTATGTTGCTCTGGTACTCATAGTATAGGGATTGTATCCGTTAGAATACTTCGATAACAAATTAAATTACGACGGTGAAGCAAACGTTACAAAACCCTTATTTTGTATTTATTATTATTGTTACCTACTATATGTATAGAGCTGCAATATGTTGTAGAAGTGATGATGAATGAATGATTTTCCACTTAGAAAAAGGAAATTATTTAAGACAATTTGCGTAGATTACTTAGTTAACGAGACTAGGGATCGAACACTGTGATTCGGTAACGGAACATAGACCGACATACCTCTATAGCTTAAGTGTCGTTCATTGAAATATAATGCTGTTACTACTAAAAATAATTTGGTCATAAAATTACAAGCTGCTTATGTATTTCAGAATATTACTAAGGCCATCCAGCGGAGACAGAACGAACTCTAGGAGTTCTTAGTACGAAGTTATATTTTTCTCAAAATGTTCATAGTTGTCTATCTATTTCAACTTGGTGATGAAACACGTCCACTCAACATTTATAGAATTTACAATGCAAGATGGAATTCCACAGTATTGCGGTGTCGTAAAATTCCAAACGGCGCAAATAGCCTCTGACGGGACATTTACAGCTGGCTGCAAGTCGACGCAATCGCTCCTAATTTGTTACAAACTATAAAATATGTTGCTGCATTTATATATATTGAAACGCTATCGAAGTCTCTCGTTAACACGAAGCACAACGTGGTCAACTAAAGTACAGTCAAGAACACATAAAATGTGACACAGTGGACTCTCATAAATGGCGTGTACTCCCTCATTGAGTATCGAAAACCGTCTGTGGCATCATACAGGTTTCTTCATCGTTAAAACAAGCGTTAATTAAATATAATACTGAGAGTCAAAATCGGGCGCACTACAACCATTCTCTCAATGCTTCTTAAACAATTGCACGAGTAATGCCCTGGCATCGACTCCAGAATGCGATGTTACTCAGCTTAGGTCGAAGCTGTTTATAGGACTGTACGGTGACAAATGCGTAAATTTTATTTTTATTAGCCGTCCGCACGCCTGAACATAAGCAATTGGAAATTACATTATCATAGATGTGAATTGCAATGTTACGTGTGAAGACTTAATATTAATTTAGTAATTAATTTTTGATGTCATTGTTATAATAATGGTGTAGATATTTTACGACACTATGTATGATAATTCATACCAGTGTGCGTTAGAGTATAAGCTACTAATGTTTTCAATAAATAATAAACACTTTTGATATGGATTTACAGTCTCACCGTGTATACATATATATATAGTACTATATATAGTCACCATTGTAATATAGTAACGCTATAGCGTTCTACACTTAATTCCAGCTAACCTTGAATTAGCATTATGCCATTTTCGTACTCTAACAAAGCGCTTACCTAGTACACTGTACTCTGCATAGTGCCTAATCAAATTGAGAAGTCGTCAATACCAGATGCCTGCATATGCCTAGTAATGAATGATAGATGCATGAGCATTTCAACATGAAAATTTATTGGAAGATCGTGCGCAACTCACACGCGCACCCTTTTCATAATTGAATTGAGGGCAATATATCTATATATATAAGATAATTTCCATAAAATGTTGACCTTTCAAACAATAAATGAGGAGCTAAATAATGTAGAAAATTATGGGTTTTATTCCCTTTATGAAGGGAATAATATCAGACCATTTGCGTCGTTGTGACACATACCAGTGGATTATGGCACTGGTAAATGCCCTGATGATGACATCAATTACAGAAACGTGTTGTACCCATAGATATAGGTTGTACTAAGCCGGAAACGGGGTCGAACTCGTCGCTAGGATCACTACAAGTTGTTTGGTGGTGAAGGATAGTTCTTGCGTCCAGGACAGTTAACAGACATCTAACGAAAGGGAATGACCATCTCGTGCTGACATCACATGAAGGTAGCGCCTGAAGTCGATACCAAAGGCAGCTATGTCATAAGCACGTTCTTTGAAATTGCTGACAGGGCGCAGCAGATCCCAATGTCCTTGAATATCAATATTTAGAAATTTAGACGTCCAAACACTTCTAGTCTTACCAAAATACGTCATCTGAACGGAACTTCAAGAAAAGCTAATGATATTACCGAATAGGGTTACACGTTCTGTGTGTCGAAGACAGTGCCAATTTTCCCGACTCCTAGTGTGTGGACTAGGAGTCGGGAAAATTGGAAAAAAAAGCTAATTCGAAGTGAGACTTTGAGGCTAAGAGCCGACAGAGTGTTCAAAGAGTTATATAGGACTTTGATTAGAGGATCATGGCAGAAATCGTCGACGGAAGTAGAAGGAACTCGAAATTCAGTCGAGGAGAGAAGCGGAGGATGTAAACAAAGTTAGGGACAAATATGCAGATTCATATATGATCGAGCTGGTTGATCTGGAAAAGATGGTGTGATGTAATGGTGCATTTACTTTAAAGCACACATACGCACACGCTCATAGCCCTGCACTAGGTAAATCGCGCATGCTATGGACATACACACAAACGACCACAAATAACACCAAACTCACGAGAGAAATAGGCCTTACAAATACTTCTCCCGGCCCGAGATTCGAACCCGGGACATCTGTGTGGCAGACCAGCATGGTAACCGTCCGGCCACGGAAGCTTGCACGTTGTTATATTGTATAATAGAGGTATTAAAATATATAATACTATGTAATGAGATAGACGTATATTTTTGAACACGGCCGCAATTTTTGATTTAAAATCAATCTTTGCTTTTTAAATAGTCAATACTTTATATTCGATTATATCATTGTAGTTTTTAATCTGCAATAAAAATTATTTGAATGATCATGAATGATATAATATTTTAATGAGTCAGCGTGGACCATAAGCCCTGCCCGAAACGTGAGTTTGTTTAAAAAATAAAACAAATATCCGCGATTTGAAAAAATAGATACATATTGAGTTCTTAAGTTTTTGCGACTGTTACACGTAGAATGTCACAATTGACTGTCACCATGGGACCCGTAAAGGGCTTGAAACGTCGGTTTGTTTGAAAAAACAAATATACGCCATTTAAATCCGGAAAAATAGTTTCATTTCCTAATAGTTACATTTCCTAAATATTTCATTGAACTAAAGATATTACAGAATCACGGGGTAACGAAATTCACATTAAATGAACATCGTCGGGGCTAGTGCAATTCCGGGTATGTACTTATTGGTAAAAAGCGCGTATCTGCACTACACAAATTACTACAGGAAAGGGATTTAACGTTATTACTTTAATATTTCAATGGTTTTCATTTTTGCACAGTAAACCCGTTAATTTATATTGTCTACGGACCGATAACAATAGATTCCCGTAATACACACAAATTTGGTTGCCACGACATTCACGCGGATTTGATTTTTCCACTAAATTACCGAAATGGAAACTCATAATCCAATGATCCTACGAGTAATTGCGCTATCCCCGACGATATATTTTGCGAACCATTGTTTTTTTTATAACTATATAATTTGATGTTGTGTGCAATGTAATACAAGATCCAAAGGCCAAACAGGCCGAATTATCCTCTTTATCAAAAAGTTGATAATGCAACGTATCCATACACATGTACGTACATGTGTACATAGAGGCCACTTCAGTAAGAAATCGTGCTTTCCAGTTTGATTTCCTATAATATATATATAATAGCACCTTGATACTGGAGTAAGAAATAACCAAATAAATAATGTACGTGTCCAACAAGATTACTAACTGTCACTCGTAACTTCCATAAATAACTGTCTGTCCACAATGACTGCGCTCACATTATCTTTGACGACTTGTTTCGCGTTTCAAGTTTATCATAAGATACTTAAGTATTTACTCAATGGAATGAACATGAGTCTTGTATTATTGTAGATTAAAATTCCAATCTTCATGACGCTATACGATAGTGTATTTGTCATAATTTTAAGGCGTAAAACACCCATGCTGTCGCCGCCGCCGTGGCGGTGGGTTTTGTACTTAGAAATACATCGGCCAAGGTGCTAACCTACCCTTAATTAGGATTATTATTATTTATATAGATCTATATAGTTAATAATGAAAGACGATTAGACTAACTGAATTATTGTCAAGAAAAGACAATAGCCACATCTAGTAGTAAGCATAATTACTTCTTTCAGTAATACCCGGCTACTCAGTTTTACTATAGTTACCTATTAGAAACATGCAGATAGTATAAGTATAGTATCTCTACACATATTTTTCAGAAAAAGGCGGTGCTAGTTTGATTTTTCACCATTTTAAACTAAAACTAACTGGAAAATGTAATTGAAACTCGTGACGGTTCAAACTCACTTACCTGTCCTGTAACCAGCGTTGGAGAGATAGGTGGCAAAGGTATTTGTCTCATATTTAGCCTGCCACATTGGTGAAGAGCAATTGTCGTTGTTCGTGTAGACATTGTGATTATGGACGTATGTGCCCGTTAAAAGGGAACTCCTGAAAATAACATATTTTCTATATATAATATATACTTTTTTAAAAACCCGATTTTTTAAATGGACAAAATATAAACAAATCTTTAAAAAGAAACGACAAAACCGTACCTAGAAGGACAGCACATCGGCGTTGTTGTGTAAGCATGCCGGAACTCCGCCCCAGCGCTGCGAATCGCTTTCATTGTTCGCGGCATAAAATTTAAGCTTCCCAATTCCACATCTTGATCGTCAGTCAGAATCAGTATAATGTTTGGCTTCCTCTCCCTCTGCTGAGGATATGGAATGAACTTCTCAGTCTGCCATTTGTTCGGAGGCCTCACTTTTGGCCTTGTCGAATTCTCCCTGACAGGCACTGGGTGAAATCTGTCAACCACTTTGCTTTGATTTATAGGCTTCCTCTTCTCAGATGAGAATTTTTCTGCATTACTTCTATTCCAATGTTTCTCTGACTTACGAAGCTTTTCATCTTTCTTCAAGCTGTACGGTTCAGTTCTATTAGTTTGGTAGTCTTCAGAAGACTCAGTGCCTCTTCGCCTATCTCGTCTTATCTCATGATCGCGTTCCCAAAGTCTACGCCTATCACCACGGAATCTTGAACTATTCCGATGCCTTAAATTTCTTCTTTCCGGAAGATCAGTGAGAGTTCCGTTAAATGTAGTCCGGTTGCGGTTGTTTTCCCGGTTCCGCAGCTCTCTTGCTCTTGCAGCCTCTTCGTCTTCGAAAGAATCTCTTTTTGCCGATATGAGAATGCAATTCCACGTTAGTAGTAAAGATATAATCTTCAGATTCATATTGGTTGTTAATAAATAGTTTTTTTCTATCACAGTTTAACTTCTTAGAAGTTGGATTAGTTGTGCTTACTCTAAGTGAAGCTGAACTGATTTCAAGTGGTTATCGATTCCAGCATCCGGCAGCGGTTCTTCGTACGACGCGCCATTTTGTTCCACCGCCTGCAACAAATAAAAAGTTATTTAAAATCAGTTGATTTGAGCAGCGCAACTATGAAGGCGACGCCCATTTCATGTTTACTTTGAATATTGAAATATGTTTGGGCAATCAATATGTCCGGTTTAATGGCGCTCGCGAGGAGCTTGTGGCGTGGCGAATCAATCGCATGCTGCTTTTAGCAAAATTGGCCCGGGTGGGTCGGGGCCCTCTTTGCAAATAAATTGCGCAGTTTCCTACACGCAACGACTGAAGTAAACTATTCATATTGGGTTTGCGGAGGACTAGTTGTGGCGAATCAATCTTCATGTGCCGTGAAGGGGTTAGTCCAATGATTACAAAGCGTTTCATTAAATAAGTTAACCACTTAAACATGATACTACAATCGTTATTTAAAGACAACAATTTATCGACAATAAACGTAAAAACTAGTCGGTAAGAAAATTAATCCTACCATAAGGCCCAAAGCAACTTTATGGGTATTTCAACCAATCAGCAGTCCGTCATTCAGTAGCGAGTAGTGCCACGCGATCCTGATTTATGCTGCGCACCAGATGCGACCGTAATTGATAGGGGCCCAAGCGCGATCGATGTCATACTACGTGATCTACTCCCAATAAATTCTACAGCATGTCTTAAACTTTAGTTCTTTGACTAAACAAAAAATTTCACACCTTTTTTATTCAAAACTGTTTACTGCTGCTTTTGTAGACACCAGCTCAAAATATTATCAAGTAGTTCAGTGACTAACTTAGCAACATTAATTCGAACTAAGATTCGTATTTATAATTTGTAAATACGAAGTATGTAGATAATGAATGTTCGTACTTCTTGGACTACATCCAACAGTAAATCCAAGGTAACGTTGCGATATTTTTGCCTCTTCGTCAGAAAATCCCAACCTAATGTGACCAAAATATTCAAGGCAGCTCATTTCACAGGACCGCATAACCTGGGAACAAAATTGCGATACATTGTGCGAATAGGATAAACGTATAAATTGTCTGGCAAGCATCCGACTCATCGCCTCGTCAAGTTAAACAAACTTTGCTGATGTAATGCATACATTTGAGTTGAGATAACAAAATTCAACCATGTTCAAACACCGCCTGTTCTTTTGTTCGCCAATGTGAAAATTTCAATTCCCTCGATTTGCCAAGTTTACCTTGCCGCAAGCGCATGCAGCAAAATTAATTAACTCTACACAAAATGTTTTACTTATTTATTTTATTATTGTAAACAGAGTTAGGTAAATTTTCCTGAAATAACATTTCTTCCGTCAATTTTCACTTTGTTTACACGTAGAAAGCACGCGTTTCTGTTTATACATTGTGAAGTCCGCTCAACAAGACTGTAAAACATTTTCGTCGAGCGAGTTTTGGCCGGAAAATATTTGATAAACCGGCCACGACCCGGCTGTAAACAAGGTGGTGAGTGAGACAAGGCTTAACATAAACCATGACAAACTAACTTCTACTTCATCAACTTTCTAGTCGATAATTTTAGGAATCTATTTGTAAACAAATCAATCAGTTTCAATTTTATAGTTATTGAAATTAGGTTACAAACCAGATTTTAGATAAATTTTATTAGCAATAGAGCTCCTTGTGAAAAAGTTTGTCCAGGGAAATTCTGCCACCTTAGCTTTTTATGCCTGAGCAGTAACGTGACTATTACTGCGTTTCGGTTTTGAAGGATAAGACTGCTGATAAAATTACAGGCACATGGGACTTGTTAACTTATGTCTCAGGCTAACGGGAGCTGTGGCAGTACCCTTAAATTTTTGCTATTTAAAGTTCTGGGTGGCACTGCAATTGCTATGGGTAGGCGTGTCGCTTACCGCAATCTGTTTGTCCCGTCATTTGGTATCGTGAAAAACAGATTCACCTACATATTTATTTTTATTGCTATTGTCATACTCGTATTATTATTATAGCCACGTTGAGACAACATACACTGTTTCGAGTCCAGTCAGATCAATAATAATCACCCAAATATAATCTGGTGGCAACCGATTCTATACATGTATCCAGCCAAAAATACAAAACTTCATAGCTCGTCGGTGATTGAACCGAGCTGAAAACAAACAACCTTAGCTAAACAACGAATTATGTTATGTAGGTAGTTTAAATACACAACATTATGTAAACATTTCGATAGTGCTTATTTATAACTAACTACAATTACACTAATCAATTTGAATCGACTTCGAGTGAGTGACTTCAAGCGCTGTTTCACTCGTTACTGCTAATGAAGCATTATAAATTAAACGTTAATCACCCATTGGAAGTTTCTCAGGGCGAGGGGAGGGCTTGGTGTGGGAGACGCTATGTAAATCCCCTAATGGGTCCCGGAAAGTTTATTCTTTGCCGAGTTTTCGCTACGTTAATTTGGAAACCGTAAAAGTTGCAAGACGGTGTTTTATTACGGGCCAAACTTGCTGGAGCTATAACAAAAGATACACTTTTATATTTCTCAAGAATACCTAATGATTTTATATTAAGT